TACACTACAAATCACCATTCGAGAATGTTTGAGTGTAATGGCGTGTTTTTGCGGGGCTTCACCCCCCGCCCTTTAAACAACAATGACAATCGTGTGAAATTACTTTTTTGTGTTGATGGTGACCAACAGTGACCTTGAACCTGTATGTGGAGTGCAGGACTCACGTCACATCCCAAATCCTTATCCTGACCTTATCCCACGTGCTATATAGTCGTAATGACTTATCGCTCTCTCCTGGTGGTTTGAAATTGAAATAAGTTTATTGAGGTAAAATACACACAAAGGGATGAGGTAGCTCAAGCTATTCTCGCCCCGTTCAGTACATCGTGTTAATACATACATACACACATGACAAACAATAAACGTATTACCGAACATTCTGAGAGATAAACATTCTCATGGTTCCTTTCTGTTGTGGATCTTGTCACCTCTAGTTCGACTTCTTTCCTCCATTGGCGGAAATGAGCCGATATTTGTGCATTACCATAACCAAAAGATGAGACGAGATGGCAAGCTTATACTGCAATCTCATTCTTACAACGACCGGATAATTATTTATCCCCTCTTACACGAGGGTGAGGAGGTTGCCTCTCTTCCAACCCCTTCCCTTCTTCTTCTCCTACCCCTCCAAGGGCATCTTTCAGCGGCCCTCCGCTACCCTCCCCTCCCAGTGGGAGGGGGTCAGCCGGGCCGCTGTGTATGGCATCTCCCCTCCCGTCCTAATTACTCACTGATGGCTTTATTGCAGAAAAATCCTCGCAAAAAAGACTCGTCGACAGAGTTTAGAAGGGTCTCTCTCTCTCTCTCTCTCTCTCTCTCTCTCTCTCTCTCTCTCTCTCTCTCGTACTCCTGTAGGAGTGTGGGAGAGAGATATACGTGAGAAAAAAAAGGATAAAGGGAGAAGGAAATAGGAAGACGAGAAAAATGGAGAGCAGGAGAGAGAGAGAGAGAGAGAGAGAGAGAGAGAGAGCTGGAAGCTGGAACAAAAGCTTGTCATTAGGATTCATTTATCTATAAACAATTTCTCGCGCGTCGTATCAGTCTCTTGCGTCGTACCAAACAACACTTACGTAATCTTTCGCTTAGACACTCGAATCTTGCTCACACTCCCCAACAAGAACCACAGGGCCTAACGCTAGAGGCCAGACACTCTTAGTCTATCTCCTATTATTTCACCAGAGGCTGGGCACCACAAGCTACACTCAAGTGACCGTGAAAGGATGGGAAGGGAGAAAATTCGGATGTGTTCATTACAAGGAGAAGAGGCGAGAACGAACGTGTACTAGGCAAGCGAAGAGGAACAGGTGCGGAGATAAGGAAAACTAAATGTCTGCAGCAAAAGGAACAGACAAGAATCAGGGAAAGACTGGGAAAAGCATGCCTCGTGGGAAGGGGAAACTGCAGGGGAAACAAGAGGAGTAGGGGAGAGCAATGATTGACTGCTGACAAGAAGTGCTGACGTTGACGCAGAGTTGGAGTGACGGAGGCGTCTGATTGGCCGAGGTGTTGAAGGGGGGGAGGAGGGCAAAGATGACAGGGAGGATGGCTACATACTGTCCAATTACTGTGGGGAAAACTGATGATGTTCAGCGGGACAGGAATGTGAAGACGGTGGTTAAAGATCACTAAGAATAACACACAGAACATTCTTCGATGCATGGAGACAAGGGAAGCTTGAGCAAGGCCTTGAGCGCAAGAACAACATTAGAAAATTGTAACAACCGGTGGAAACGCTTGGGAAATTATCATTGGTTGAAGGTGCTCGAATCGGTAAATAAAATTTGCAAATTAATAGAACATTTCAGAGCCAGCCACCACTATACCCCCACACCTACCACCTCTATACTACCACACCTACCACCTCTATACTACCACACCTACCACCTCTATACTACCACACCTACCACCTCTATACTACCACACCTACCACCTCTATACTACCACACCTACCACCACTATACAACTACACCTACCGCCCTATACAACTACACCTACCACCACTATACCACCACACCTGACGCCAGGGGAACGTTCTCCTACGCCCTTTACTCATTTTTCGAGAATTTATCATAATACTGAACAGTGAACACATTCTAGTTGTTACTAGAACTATGACTAGTTCATAGTTCTGTGACTATTACTAGTACTACTAATAGTACTGTCGTTCTTATTGGGCCTACTACGACTAATATAATAATGCAGGTACTATTACTACCACCATTACTACTACTACTCGTGATGATGATGGTGCAATCAACACAGATCAACACGACTATTATGACGACAAGAAGAACAACACCTTCCAACCGTGATGATGGCTCCATTAGTCTTTATATAGCAACCAGCTGTCTCGAAGTGCACTTGACAGTGGTGTGTTGTGGACACTCGGGAGGATATGGGTGTGGGCGTGTTACAGTGGATGTAGGCGTGGGTGCCACACCCAGTGGGAGCGTATGGGTGTAACTGTGAGCAAGGATGGGTGTTTGCCTCAGGCTAAGTG